TGTTTTCTTATTGAAAATATTAGCAGAACAAGTTTTCACTTTTTCTTTTTTTCAGTACTGAGGACTGAACCCAGGGCACTGAGCATGCTAGGCAAGTGTTCTACCACTGAACTATATCTCCATTCCAAATTTTCATTTTTTTCTTTGTTTTTGCTTTTGAGACAGGATCTTGCTGTGTATTAGGCTGGCCTTGCACTGACTTCGTAGCCTAGCTGGCCTTGAACTCATGGCAATCCTCTTGCCTCAGCTTCCCGAGTGTGGGGATTACAGGTGTGTGCCACCATACCTGGTTTCATTTTTTTCTTAACTTGCATTTCTAGTTCTTAAAAAAATATATTGTTGAACTATATCACTAAAATGGATTTCTGGAGTGAGTATACAATTAAGTCTCTATTAGCAATCTACTCACAAGTGGATGTATATATTTGATGATTTTTTAGTATGCTTATCTGTCCTCTTCCATTACCTTTATTTATTTTGTTTCTTTGAGACAGGCTCTTGCTATGAAGTTTAGGCTGCTTTTGAACTCACTGCATACCCCAGGCTGCCTGAAACACACTGTGATTCTCGTTCCTCAGCCTCCTGAGTCCTACAGATGTGTTCTACCATGTCCAGCTCTCATTGCCTTTAAAATAACTTGAAAATGTTAAGTGGCAATCTAAGATTTATCTTTGAAAAACTGTGCAGAGTAATGGTTTTCAGTGTTTCACAAATCAAGAAAATATTTTATATGCTACTATATATAAAGTCTACTTGATTTTGACTAACCATATAAATTAATAAAAAATTAAATAATGAGAATTTATTTTTTTTTTGCTTGGCAGAAGAATAGCTTACAAAAATGTGTAAGTTATTCTTTTTCCATCTATATTTTCCAGTGTGGTTTGATCACTACAGATTATGGAAAGTCCAAATTTTTAGGAAAACTGACTAAAAATTATAGAAACTCAATAATTAGCATAACAATGTCATTGTCAAACACTTCTGCAAAACTGAATGCCTATAGATAAGTTTATCAATAGAATAGTCATTTATAGGTAAGGACATATAGGACTGGGGACTGCTTTGGAAACAGCTTCCCTCTTAGTTTATTGCTACAACATGTTTTACGATTCATGAGATGTTGAACTCAGGCAAAGCTGGGTAAATAAAGTAATATAACGATACCATTTTGAGGGAAAAGCTGTGAAGATCATTTTAATGAAAGAAGTAAAATGACAGAAACATTGTGTAATTCAGTTTGGTTTACATAGCTTATTATGTTTGGGCAGTTATCAACTCCTCAAATACTGTTCTAAACTAATTTGCAGATGTGTGTGTGTGTGGTACTGGGGATTGAATTCAGGGGCATTTTATCACTGAGCTACATTTCCAGCCCTTTTTATTTTATCATAAGAGTCTTGCTAAGTTTCCCAGGCTGGCCTCAAATTTGTGATCCTCCTGCCTCAACCTCCTGAGTAGCTGGGATTACAGGTGTGTGCCACTATGCTCAGATAATTGGTATGCTTACAGGCAAAGGGTTTCCTAGGACACAAGGAAAATTTAATTATAGTCACCTGATTACATAACAATTGACATTAAAATATTTCCACATTATATTCACATATTCCCAGAACTATACAATTATACAATTTAAGAGTCCAAAGCCACTTTAGGGATTATTCCTTAACTTCAATTTATAGCTTGTCCAAGGCCTAGAAATGCTAGGTGACCTGTTCTAAATGACAATCCCTTGCTGGGTTTAATTTTTATTTTTAAAAATTATGAACATAAACATTTTCCTCTTTACCATTTCTTAGAAAGACACATTGCATCTGGGTGTGGTGGTACACATCTGTAGTCCCAGCTACTGAGGTTGCTGGGACATGAGAATCATAAATTGGAGGCCAGCCTAAATAACCTAGTGAGACTCTGCCTCAAAATTTAAAAAAATTAAAAAGGCAGGGGATGTAGCCTAGAGGTAGAGCTCACCTAGCAAGGTGTTAGGTATTAGGATTTCAAAATATGAAGTTTGGGCAGAGGAGGAGGGCATATATGTCAAAATTCAACGTGTAACACATAAATGAGCCTAACATCTACTGTCAACTTGCTCTATGGTCCTTTGTCGCTCCTGAATATATCAGTTGGGAAGTGATTAAAACACACACCTTTAATCCCAACACTCTGGGAGGCTGAGGCAGGAGGATGGCAAATTCAAACAGCCTAGGCAACCTAACAACTGAGACCCTCAGATAGATAGATAGATAGATAGACAGACAGACAGACAGATAGGGTTGGGATGTAGCTCATTGTGAATGTTCTAGGTCTAATCCCCAGTACCACAAATAAATAATCCTTTGAAAATAGCATACATAGCAAATGCAAACAATTGCTAGTACTAGTGACAGAATAGAAAGATGTCTAAAATCATGATTCTTGTACCCTAGAAATGCTATGATATGGATTTCAGTTAGTAGCTTTGATTTGGCATTGGCATGTGAAGACATCCACTATTTGCATTATAATGACCCCAAAAGTAGCTTGTGAAACCAGTTTGTTAAGTTATATAAAAGCATAATTCCCCAAGTGAAGTAAAACTTAATGAATATCAAAAGTTTGTAGTGAGAATATGTATGTACATAAGGGACTATCACATCTATTACTATCCCCCATGGACTACAACTTTGGAACCATAGAAAAGAACAAACACAATGAATAGTTTGACCTCATTTACACCATGCCTCAGACATTGTCACTTAACATGGAAATCTGATTACTTCACTGTCCCTCACACTTTTCAGTGGTTCCTTTGTCTATCCCTATAAGATGAAGACTAACTTTCTTTGTAAACTGCCAAACTTTCACAGTGTAAGTTTGTATACAGCAAGTTTGACAGTATGTTTGTAAACTTATACTACTGAACTTCTGTTTCTCAAATAAACCAGGCTCTCTCAAAGACCTTTCTGGGTCCCCCTCCCTTAATACTCCCACTCTAACTTGACTCAAATGCTACCTTCATAGAGGGTTTTCCCTACTTCCTCATACACTGATGGTGATTTTGCCTTATGTTCTTATTATTGAACAATTTTAATAATTGTTATACCGTTCATTCCTATATGTCTCCCTTTGCACTGTAAATTCTCTGAAAGCAAAGACCATGATTTTTATCTTTATATTTCTCCTGCTAAGCCCAATACATGAAAGATGCCATAAACAGTTCGTGGCTATATGCCCAATTTAAAAATAAGCACATTTTATTTTAAGCTATAGTTGTTTTCCAAAGAATGTTTCAAAAATATAAAATTTTAAAATGTACTTTAAAAGTGTAATATATCAGTGACCTCACTTTTACTGTTATTTGAAGGTAGCAGGATTTACTTTTGTTAATTTGGATTTTCTGTGCTTTTATATGGCATCTGCAACCGTGATTTTGTAGTAGAAGCTTCGGGCAGACACAGAATGTCATAAATTAAGGATTATGATTAAATTTTAGAACCCTTAAAACAAAAACATACAAGTTTTCTTTTTGAAAAACTGCCACTTTTTATTGTAAAACATACATAATAATTGTCATTTTTAACGATTTTAAGTGTACAATTCACTGGCATTAATTTACAATGTTGGGCAACCACTATCCGTTTCCATTTTAAAAATCTAGTTTTTATTAGTACCTAGTAATCCCGATGTACTATCGAGTATGACTGTCATATATAAACCACACAGGAATTTCACATAAGCAAGCCCACTTACTGCACAAATATTTAAAATCCGTTTCGAACACCTCAGGACAACATTCAGGCCAATAGGCGGGAGGAAAACCCTTGGAAACTACATACAACACAGAAAGAGCACGCTGAGATGTCAACCAAAGTCGCCTACCTTGGGAAAGCAGCTCGGGGCGCTCTCTGGGAAGCAGTGAGGTTAGGTAGCTTTGGCGCGCTCTCCTCAGACCCTAACACGGAGGTTCTTAACTCGGGCTTGGAAGGAGCTGCAAAAAGTTGCTCTGGGCACTTAGAGGACTAGGGGCACTTGGGGAGTGGGGTGCGGTGCATTCATTGCTTTCCCCGGCTCCTCTTAATCTCCACGCTTCCGGACGCCGAGACAGGGAATACGCGGAACATAGGCCGGGTTCGCCGGTAGCTGGCAGCCCAGGGTTCCGTACCCCAGCACAGGGCTCGGACGCAGCACCGCAAGGTGTCCGACTGGGCCGCGGCGGCTTCCACCCGGGTCCGACTGCGGGAGGGTGTGGCCAGGGGGCGGCTGGCGGCCCCTCCGCCTCCCACGTCTGACCCCCGGACAAAGGGGGCGGGGGGCTCCCCGGGCGGGAAGCGCCTGGCTCCGGAGAGGCAGGAGCAGCCTCTTCACACACACCCTTTCCTAGGGTCCCCGCCTCGTCTCACTCGGGGCGCTGCGCCCACCACAGGAGGAACGGGGCACTGGTCCGCAGAGAAACGCCTGTCTCTCCCCACTTATTCTTCTTCGAAGGGCGTAGGGAAGCTTCCGCAGGGCCGCACAGGCGTGGGACTACAGTTCCCAGGAGACAGCGCCTGGAGCCAGGCTGGAACATTAAGACAGGACCTAAACGGTGACTGGAGGAGGGACAGGATAGGCTTCTTCCGTTACCTTAGCGCCAGCAATTTGGGCCGCCGCCACCCCCTGCAGAACAACTCACCGGTGTCCCGCTTCGTATTTTTAAATCTGGCGGGGCTTTCCCTTTTGGGATGACCACGCCCCTCATTTACGACTCGAACCAATCAGCATCAGGCCCGCCATTTTTCAAAACCTCTTCCCGCCGCCAATCAGAATCGAGCAGTACATTCCTCTCCTGACCGGTTCTAACGGGTCTGGGAGTTAACGACCTGGGAGACCCACCGAACCTGCTAGGCTGAGGCTGGGTGGGCGGATCTAGCCAGACACTGACCAATCGAAAGCCGATAAGGAAAGGGGGCGGGGTGTCTCCGGGTTTGAATAATCGTAAGAGCCAATCAAAGAGGCAGGGGTGTGGCCTGTGGCCGGGTCTGTCAAGTTGCGGTGGCGCGGAGAACTCTGCAAAACAAGAGGCTGAGGGTTGCGTTAGCGGTAAACCAGTTCACGCCGGAGCCCTAGGAAGGAAGCGTCGCACTAGGACTCGGCTGCTCTGCGGGACTGAGGAAAAGCTCGCACGAGGCAAGAATCTCCGCAGACTCCCTCGGGTTTGTGAGCTCCTCTCCCTTCCCCCGCAGCCCACAGCCGTTTGTGGGGTTTCGGCGTCACGGCTTCAGGGGTTCGACCTGACGGGCGGGATTTGGGGTGCGGGCGGTGAGGCCGGCGCTGCGTTGGCCAGGAGCCGGCCCGGGCCGCGGTGCTTCTCGGACCTTGAGGAAAGGGTCGAGGGCGCCAGGGGCAGCGGGGCTCGGAGCGAGCGCGGGGCGGCGGGGGCGACATTGGCGGGCGCTGGGGGCCGCGGCCGCTCTCGCGCAGACCGCCCCTCTCCGCAGGCCGCGCCGCCATGGGCAAGGGAGACCCCAACAAGCCGCGGGGCAAGATGTCCTCCTACGCCTTCTTCGTGCAGACCTGCCGCGAGGAGCACAAGAAGAAGCACCCCGACTCCTCGGTCAACTTCGCCGAGTTCTCCAAGAAGTGCTCGGAGAGATGGAAGGTGAGGGCCCCAGCCGGCCCTCTGCGGGGGCAGGGTGAAGCTGGGCTGCTCGGGTCTGCGAACGCGCGCCCTGCGCTGAGGCGGTGTGAGCCCTCCCGACGAGCTCACCTTTGCCGGGCGGCTGCGGCTCGTTCTGCCGTGTCTTTTAACCCATTCTGTGCTCATAGACCATGTCAGCGAAGGAAAAGTCGAAGTTTGAAGATATGGCCAAGAGTGATAAGGCTCGCTATGACAGGGAGATGAAAAATTACGTTCCTCCCAAGGGTGGGGATAAGAAAGGAAAGAAGAAAGATCCCAATGCACCTAAAAGACCACCGTAAGTTTATTTTAAAGATTAACTGAACTGCCCCCCTTGGATTTTTATTTTCCCCCTTTTGGTTTATTAACTCCGTTGCTTCCTTTCAGGTCTGCCTTCTTCCTGTTTTGCTCTGAACATCGCCCAAAGATCAAAAGTGAACACCCAGGGCTGTCCATTGGAGATACTGCAAAAAAATTGGGGGAAATGTGGTCTGAGCAGTCAGCCAAAGATAAACAACCATATGAGCAAAAAGCAGCTAAGCTAAAGGAGAAATACGAAAAGGTATATGTTTACCTTCTTAAAATTGGGCTAAAATCAGATTGATACTTCCTGAAAGATATTACAAGAAGATGCAAATCTAAAACTTAAAAAAAATAAGGGGGCAAATATATTTTACTACACGTATTAGAAATGTGAGATGTGTGTGAAGTAAATAAATGACTACTGGCAGTGAAAATACTGGTGTTGATCTAATGTAGCTCTCATTTTACCCACACTAGCTTTCTAAAGCCTAAAATGCTCTCAAAACTGAGGAAGATCCTGAATACCTTTTTAGACAGCTGTCTGGGTTATTGGTCAATAGTTGTAGGTTGTTTACAGCTAAGTGGTTTTCACAGTTGAGTGAGGACACCGGATGCTGATTTTATTATTTTTGATAATATTTCAGGATATTGCTGCATACCGTGCCAAGGGCAAAAGTGAAGCAGGAAAGAAGGGTCCCGGTAGGCCAACAGGCTCAAAGAAGAAGAATGAACCAGAAGATGAGGAGGAGGAGGAAGAGGAAGAAGAGGAAGAGGAGGAGGAGGAGGAGGATGAAGATGAAGAATAAATGGCTGTCCTGTAATGGCATGTGGAGTATATGTGTGCTCAGGCAATTGTTTTGCTAAGAATGTGAATTCAAGTGCAGCTCAACATTAGCTTCAGTATAAAAACTGTACAGATTTTTGTATAGCTGATAAAATTCTTTGTAGAAAAAATACTTTTTTTAAAAATTCAGGTTGTAGCTTTTTGAGGAGCTACTACATACAGTTAGATTTTAAAGCTTTTTGATGTTGAATGTTCCTAAATATTTAATGGTTTCTTTCATGTGTGTGGTAGCACAGCAAATTTGCAGGAACTAGTACCAATAGTAAGTTTTGGGTTTTTTTAGGATGTTGCATTTTGTGTTTTTTTAAAAAAAATTTGTAATAAAATTATGTATATTATTTCTATTGTCTTTGTTTTAATATGCTGAACTAGCTTTCCCTTAAAACACAAGAGAAGGGGCTTTGTCAGCTTTTTAAACATTTTTGCCTAGTAGCTCTTAAGGCTCAGTTGGTTTAGTAGTGTTTTGAGGGAAAAAAGAAAACCAAACATATCCATATTCTTTTCTAAAAACCAGATCCAGAACTTAACTTTAAAAATTTTTGCACAATGATTTTTAAGTTTTGTCCTTGACATTTCTGTTTATTTATTAACTTGCTCATCTAATTTCCTTTTACTTTAAGGATGGTAAGTCATAAAAGCATATATGTATGTTGAAAAATGTAAAAATCAGTAATAACGTTAAATTTTGTGTTTGAAAGTTGAACTAGTTCAAAATAGATTTGAATTATTTCTTTTTTTAGAATGCTGGGTAACTAGTCTAAGAAAGTATTTGAGATGATTGTGATATCCCATGATCTAATTTAGCTACATTTCACTAGGATGGCATTTTAGGAATGCTTGAGGAAGCAGTTAACTTGTAAATTATAACTGTTGAATTATTAAAGGTTACTCGTGAAGGTGATCTATAAACTAAATGCTTTCAGAAGAAATCTTGACAATTTTATAGTTAAATGTCACCATCTTGGTGGCTTATCAAATTTTAAGGTGGAAGTCAAGATTCTTACCTAACAAGATCCTTGGTTGTCCTGTGCCATATTGGAAAAGATTATTTTGTTTAAATAAATTAGGTGTTAGTACAGGCACCAAGAACAAAATACATCAAGGTCTTAACATTTCAATGATTGCCCTCCTAATTATTATCCTACTGGTTATACATCAGATTTAGGGTTTTCACTGAGCATAAAAACTAGTTTCCATTGTTTCCTGTTAGGTGACTGAAGAGGCTGAAATATGTGGGGTAATGTGTTTTAGATACTTAACATACTTGGGGTAATGTGTTTCAGCTGTATAAACTGCTTATTTCAATTTCTAATATGAGGTCAATTACCTACCTTACAGTGTTTTAATGATTTAAATGAAAGTGCGATAATGTACTTTTATTTATTTTTGGTACCAGGGATCGAACTCAGGACCTTGTGCTTGCGAGGCAGGTGGCGGGATAATGTACTTTAAATAGTACCTAATGGATAGATGAAATGTTAAAAAAAGTTGCTAAAAGTGAGATCTTAAAAATTTATAATTTAGGCCCATGAGGTAGTCCTGTTGGGTTCCTTGTCAGTCTTTTTAGCAGTTGGTCTTGAGTTTCATTCTGTAATGTATTTTAAGTTGCTAAGCTAAGAACACCCACTTTGAAATCAAGTGCTGCTCTTTAGGATTTGAGATGGGTCCTGCCTTGTTCATGTTTTATGTAAGGTTTCCAAGTCCCTCTGAAAAAACTAAATTAGCAAGTTGTCAACAGTCAGGACTAGGTGACATCAATGCATATAGATACATTGGAAAGCAGTGACACAATTGTAAATGGTTCTATCCCAGATCAGCCACTACTTGGGGATGTTTATGAAAAATTCTTTTAAAAATAGTTCATTTCTTAAGGTACACAAACTACCTTGTTCTTCCAGACTTATTGCCCCAGGAATACAGTGATTTATCCTTTGTAGAAAGATGTAAGCATAATTGTAAGTTAACGTTTTAATCTCATTTCTGTTAGTACAACAGAAGCCATATTTTAAATAGCTATTTGCATAGTATCAATGAATAGATCATAGTTTAACCAGCTCCCTAAAGATAGTTGTTTGTTTTTTTTTTGGTACTGGGGATTGAACTTAGGTCCTTGTGCTTTCAAGACAGGCAGAAGCACTGAGCTAAATCCCTGGCTCAGATAATTGTTTATTTATTTTTAATTTTTTTTTTGGTATCAGAGCTTGAACTCAGGACCTTGCGGTTGCGAGCACCACTGAGCTAAATCCCCAGCTGTTTTTATTTTTTTGCTTTAAGAACAGTTATTTCTGTGACTAAACCTTGTGTAAGATTTTACATGTGGAAGAAGTCCTACAAGAAGTGGCTGTGCCAAAGGGCATGTATATTTTGGGGGGGGGGTACTGGGGATCGAACTCGGGTCCTTGCGCTTCCACAGCAGGCAGTGAAACCACTGAGCCAAATCCCCGGCCCAAGGCTGTGTATATTAAAATTTACTGTTAGCTAAAGCCTTTACTTTATGCTAGAAACTGCTCTTTACACGCCTGCTAAAATTGTTCAGTGGGAGCTGTACTATATATACCCTACAGCAATGAATTTTTTGCAGTACCTATTTCCTCATCAAAAGATAGTAATTGTTCTCAAGCTTCTTAGTCTTTATTATTCTGATACATTAAAAAATGGCTTCTATTAGTATTTTACAGTGAAGAGCCATTTGAGTTTTCTTTCTGTGGTCTTGTGACATTGGTCTTTTTATTAATAGTTTGGGGACCTTATATATTAAGGAAAATGATGCTTGGTGACACATAAGTGTTTTTCTCTCATTTGTCTTTTGATTTTCTTTATGGCACTTCGTGCAGATTTCTCATTTTTAGGTAGGCAAATGTATCAGTTTTTTCAAGGCTTTGAGAGGTCTTTCCTACTCAAAGGTTTTAAAAACAATTTTTTTTTGGTACTGGGGATCGAACTTGACCTTGTGCTTGTGAGGCAGGTGTGCCACTGAGCTAAATCCCCAGCTCAACAATTGTTTCCTTTAGTTTTTAATTGAATATTTGATCCTCCTGAGATTTATTTTGGTGCAGGGAGTGAGGGAGGCAAAAACTCAGGTTTCACAATGTCAGTCACTATTAGTCTTTTTAATTTATAAAAACTGCTAGGTTAGAATATTCTAAGGTTCCATATATTTCAAAAGCACTCACTGCAGACTTGTTCAGATAAGGTAAGATTTACTGACAGGAAATGCAAAGACCGATAGAAGCGAAACAGAAAACTGTTGAATGTGGTGAAATGAGCATACAAGAAATTTCACTGCAGTGAAATTTATTTTTGCATAGTGCTGTAGCCTGGTATCAGAAACTTACATGTATAGTTTGTAAGCATTTAAATGGGACAAAAGGGAGGGCCATTATTTAGTTCAGTCCTGTTGGACAGAGATGTGCAATATGTCTCCCAAATTTTCAAGTGGAACCAGAAATCCAGATTTTAGAAAATGTGAAGTCTGAATTTTATTTTCATTTTATTTTTTTGGTACCGGTAATCGAACTCTGATCCTTGTGCTTGTGAGTCAGGTGGTGGCACCACTGAGCTAAATCCCCGGCCCCTGAATTTTAAATAATGGCAATGAATTCAAATTTGGGGGTCAAATTATGTGTAGGTAACATTCACCAGTTAACCGCTTCTATAAATAGTGTTCTTAATTTTATATGCTGCAGTGAAGATAAAAATACCATTTCTGAGGCTTCAGTAGACCTTCAGTGCTCCTGGGGCTTACCTGTTAGCAGGCCTCAGCCTTGGTATTAACCACATCCATAGCATATTGTCTCAGGAACACAGACTTTCACATTAAGAGGGCAGGAGAATAAGCACATCTAGCATCAAAATTTAAACTGGAAATGGCTCTTAAGTTATCTGGCCTAGTCTCTTCACTAAGATACGATAGTCATGGGGCAGGGATTTAACTGAGTGGCACCAGGCCTGCCTTGCAAGGGAAAGGTCCTGAGTTTGACCTCCTGTACTGGGGGATAAAGAAAGAAACTAAGATAAGACAATCACTTTGGACAGTGTCCCTAGGTCAGGTTAGAGATAGTAAGCCACTATAATTTTATCCATATTTATGCATTCTTCAATTTTCCACATTTTCCAAAAGAAAGATTAGATAGCTTCTAGGAAGGAAAACATTAAAATATAAACATGGAAAAGATTATGAAAGAAGAGTGAGGTGAGCTTGCTGTTTCTTACCGGTTTGGTAATATCAGACAAGTCATGTTAACTTCTGTTTCCTCATCAGTAAAATTAGATTTTTAAAAACCAGGTAATACATTTAAGACATCCTAATAGCAAGAAATAGGACATGCTCAGTAAATAGTAAATAAAACTATATATGCCCCTGTATGTGTGTGTGTACACAGACACTGAAATCATCTCAGATTTCAGTTGAGATTCTTGAACAAAGTGGATAGAAAAAATACATGGAAAACACATGTTCTTTAGGGAGTTTTTCCTAGCACCAAATAGAACCTATCTCCCATGGGATCTTGGGATATCAAGTATAAGAGTTATGTCTTCCAATATGAAAGCTGTGAACGTGGACAAGTTAATAAAATATGAAACATACTGTGCATTTTTTGTATTTATAAAAAGTTCTTTAGGAATTGCCTTTTTCACTCAACTATTATTAAGACTTGCTTTAAGTTATTCATTTGTGTTCATCACTGAGTAACATTTCATTGTGTGATTATATCACAGTTCATTCCCCTGTTGATGAGCATTTAGATTGTTCTTGTTTTTTTGCTATTGCACATCACAGTGCTATAAAAATTCTGTGTAGGTCTCCTGATAGTCAAGTGAGCTCACCCTTACCTGCAACTCAGCAGTCCCAAGCTCCCACTTTGTTTATTTAGCTTTGCAGTATCAACAGTTTGCAACCAATTGTTGCAACATGGTTAAGAAAGTTCTCCTGAGTAAACAGACATGGTGAACGTCAGGTTTACCTTCTGTATTTCCTTTCTTGTTAGTACAGTCTGCTGTGCCTGTTACCTAATTCCTGAAAACACTTGCCCCATCTATTCTGTCCATTAAATTGTTGAGGACAGCAGCATAACCCCAATACCAGTTACTGTAACAGCCAGACACTTTCTGCCAAAACTTTTAGAGCTTTTTTACCTATATTCAAGGCCAAGTGAAATTTTACTTAAAGATAAAGGGTACACTATCTTAGACATCCTTCATGATGGCACTTCGTTCTATCCAAGGGTTGCATTAGGTCACTGAAAACTACATTCTACACTATAGTTCCTCACAAGAGTTGAATTAAACCACTGTAAACTACATTCTACATGTTTTGTGAATGGCATGAGGCAGAAATAACAGTTTCTCTTAGGGTTATCATTTCACCTCTAGTTTCTTTAACTTCTAAGCTTCATTTCTTGTCAAGTAGGGGTAATGATAACTGATATATGAAACACATGCAAACACAACCTTTATAGAGCCTTGAAGTGTAGCCGACTCACTCTTCTGATTAAAGTCAGATTTTAAGACTTTGAAACCAGATAATAATAGTTAACATTTATATTACCTTGACTGTGTGCCAGGAACTTTATGTAAGCACTTTATGTTAACGCATTTAATCCTAATAATAACCCTATAAAATAGGCACTGTTATTTCCCCCATTTTACTACTGAGCAAACTGGTACAGAGGTTAAACAACTCATCCAAGGTCTCCTGGCACTTGCAGTGGAACAGGAATTGGAATACAAATACTTTGGAGTCCATCACATTATTCTACTGCTTCAGATGAGCAAACTAAGATTCCATTATAAAAATTAAGACTTGTGTTGCACCTCTGCTCAGATATAGAACCCCTAGGTCTGATTCAGTCAGAAAAACTGAAACATCCACCTAAATTATGGGCATTTCAAAAACCTTAAAAATGAGGATTGCAAAGCAATTATTAAATCTTAGTCCTTCATCTCTGGGGACTATTGTCCCCAGAACAATTCAAACATTTGTCCATTTTCTTACAATAGATTGTTTCTAATGAATGCTTTCATAGTGCTCAATTTTGTTTGAAGTGGTTTCACATGGAATAATTTTCACATGTCTTAACTATCACCCTACTAGGTATCTGGCCCTTGTCAGTTCTCTGTTAAACTTTCCACTGAATTACATGTGGATTTTTTTTTTTCAATTGCATTATGTCTAGAAATATATTTTAAGATTTCTGTGAGTCACCAGGCATGGTGGCACATGTCTATAATCCCACACGTGGGAGGCTAAGGCAGGAAGATTGCCATGAGTTTGAGGTGTCTGGACTGCATAGTGAGTTGAAGGCCAGGATGAAGTACATAGTGAGACCCTGTCTCACAAAAAAAAAAAAAAGAAAAAAAAATCTCTGTGAGCAACCATCTTAGGTAATAAGTGATAATTCCAGTCTGGTGTTAACGTCACTTTTCAAATTTCTTAGCCTGCCACTACAGTTACAAGGTTTTCAAGTCAACACAGCCATTTACTTGAATCTGTGAGCAGCCATATCTTTTCTTGGGATGGCATGTTTTGTACAACCAGGTCCTATGGACTGCTTCTACTTCCATTTTGGGAGACTTCCTTTTTCTTTGCTTGGCTCTACTCACTTGATCTGTTGGGTTGTAAAGAATTCTGATTTAAAGATATTTTTGCTTTTGTTAGGCAATTATATAGACTATACTGACAAGAAAGATGTATGTTACTGGGATTATGTTTATAACTGTATAGGTAGCTTTAAAAAATTGTTATACATAGGCAACCAAAAGTACCGTAAGAAGAAACCTTTATGTTTCCTTCCTACAGACAAGTTCTGAGTATTCTAAGTACAGCAGAATTCTAACCAACACTCAAGCACATACTCAACTAATATCTATGGTTTGTAATATTTTGAGTTACTCATAGTGAATCTTGTAAATAAAAAATAAAATTTTTAAATGTACAGTTAAGATTTGCAAATGAGTACAAGTACTAAAAAACCCCCATGAATTAAAATACAATATTTTATTTTTTCTCACCTAAAAAACAAGCAACCCAGAATTAAGATATACATAAGCTTCTCAAATTTACCCTAATAAAATTTTGAATATTTATACAATTTCTACAGAAACATACAGTGTATCAAAATCTGCATAAATCAAATTTATAAAATGTGTAGAAATGCATAGTGATATTATCAACTTACAAAGCAAGGATATGGGAATTATTTCCAAAGCAGCCTACAGTAGAAAATAGTCATTATGGCAGCAGCTTCTGATGTTTTTCATGTTTGGTAAGGTTTCTGATTTCAATATATAGAATCATGTTCACAGAATATCTTCTTTTAACGAACTGCACACACAAAAAACCCACATAATTTACCCATAAAACTACATGCACAGTTCATGTGCCACCTTTCTTAGGCCTATGCATAGATAACAAGGTTATAATCCATTCAACATGGAAAATGGTACCTATCTGCAAAACACACAAGTAATTAAAGTACCAATTGTTTCTTTTTTTTACAGCTGATTTATTTTGAAATTATATAAGCATATAAATGTATTTCTTTTTAAATATCCCTAAAGATGAGTGAACGTTAAAATGGATGATCACAGATTAGTAGCAAAATACAAATTGACAATTCAAAATTATAAATAAAACTGCTGAGGATGTTTAATTTTTACTCTCCAAATTTAAGAACTAAGTTTGGAAGAAAGAAATTGAAGGCTTTTCTTTCAAACAAATGTAGGTTTTGCCTTTTCTTTTTTAAGCATTAATAAAAACATTTTCCTCTGGCAGTAGTTTGTGAGTTTTCATTGTAATGACACCATGATTACAAGATAAAGATGCTTAATTACCATTCCCTACCTCATTACATTTTTTAAGCACTCAACTTAGGCATTTCAATATTTGGCCTAATAAAAGAAATTAAAATCAAATTGACCATTTGTAATATTTGGTTCTCCTATAGTAGGTACTGTATCTAAATGTTTGAATGCAAACAAATATTTTCATTGGAAAAATACTACTAAGAATATGTTTGCTAAAAAGAAATTAAGAAAAACTAGAGAACTAATATTCAATCTAACAAAATAGTTCACATTTGTTAATGAGCTATATTATTAAATAGTCAACTTTTTAACTTTAAGTAATGTGCATGGAATTGCATTTGGATGAAGATAATAAAATGACACAGCAGTTCACTCTTTCATAGGTTGCACATCTTACGCTGCAATGCACAAGAGTTTTGTAAGGCTTAATTTAACAAGGGCTTGGAAATTCTTAGGACAAATCTTTGATGTGTTTACAGTGGTGTTGTGTTGCTTTTATTAGCCTCCCTTTGAAGTTTCAATACAGAATTATTTATAGGTTTTGTTTTTTTTTTAAGAGTGACAGGTACGAGGGAAAAGTAAATTCCAAATGTACGTGGACAATTTTTTTCTCTAGCTGGAAGACTCTTGCTATTCTAAGAGCTAGTATGGCAGATGGGATTGAGAACACCAGTAGGTAAGGGAGTTAATGCCACACAATCTTCAAACCCTATGCAATAGCCTTGAGATGTTCCATATTGTCATTTTTTGTTCAAGTTATACAATACTCAATTTCATACCAAATGGCAGCACATAAATTCATTTCTGAGTGCTATAAGTACTTCCCACACAGGTGACAATTCATTTCATCATTATCAGCCTAAAAATTTCATCAAAAGCTCTTGAAAAATATACCAAGAAATGAAAGAGGCACTAAATGTGTTGTTGAAATTCACCTTTCAAAAAAGCAGCATGACTGTGAAGGAAGGCCACCTTGGCTAATAACCTGTGGCAGTGCTTCAAAAAGATGTAAAGTTAAATAAAGACACAACAGGTTGATCATCACCAAGATATATATTAAAGTCTGGTTGCTCCAACCTTTTTTCAAGTGTGTTAAAAAAAAAATCAAACTGCCTTTCAGACCCCTGAGTGTAATCCCAAAGAAGACAACATGCTTTTAATTCTGTTCTAACAAAACAGAGTTAAAGGCACAAATTACCAACATCATCTTTAAACAAAACAAAAAAGATGTAAACATCTACAAAGTTTAAGGTAAAAGCAGTTTTGTAAACAGTAACTGCATATGATAATGTTATTGTAAAATCACAGTTTATCAATGTCCTTCAAACTGATCAGGAGGTTCCAGGTTGGGAGCTGTACAGAGTTAATAATAATTGTTGCAGCAGGTTTCAGGCGGTTTTCAGTCCTGTATAAATTTACTGGTCAGTAGGTAGATTATTGGTTTCTTTCTAAACACTGTGGATGTTATTCATTTCCCACTTTTGAGTCATTTTACCGGAGTCGCAATTGGAGATGAACACTTGATGTAGGACCTCTGAGCGATCTAAGCACTTCCCTGAAGGAATGTGAGTAAATCTGTGCAGGTTCTAGAAAACAGTAAGGAAAAATAAGTTATAGTTTGGACTCTTTTGACATCACTGACATTAGAAGTCACTGCATGGCTTTCAAAAGATAGTTCAAGGAAATTGAATAAGCTCATATCAGCTCATACCTCAGATTGACAGTCTTCCCAGTTCTTTTACTGCTAAGTCCTAATATACTGCTGCTACATCAAATTGGATGTATAAAAACCTAAGTTCATCTTCTTCCCCTCCAAACATACTTCTCTGGTTCCTATGGTGGCTAATGACAAGGCCAGCTTTCCAGTCCTCAGGAAATAATGTACTTTTCCTTACTCATTCATATTACACCAGGTATTGAGGGCTGATATTTACAATGTCTCCAGTTTATATTCCTTCCTTCCCATCTCCACTTAAGATACCCTAGTTCTCATGATATTTCTTCAGTATAGGCTCAGGATTCCTCAAAGCATGGTCCTCAGACTATGCAAGATTGGGTCTATAAGGGCAATACAGTTTTCAGAATACCAAGAATTCATTTACTTTTTTACTGGATTGACAGTTATGCTGATGGAATGAAAGCAATGGTTGGTAAAACCGACAAAGCCTTACCATGAATCTAGCAGTGACACCAAACTGTGCTTGTAGTCATATTCTTCACTGCCACATAGCTCATAGTTCAAAAAGCAAATATTGGCAAGGTGTGGCGGTGCTCGCCTATAATATCTGCACTCTGAGAGGCTTAGGCAGGAGAATGGCAAATTCAAGCCCAGCCCAGGCAATTTAACAACTTAGTGAAACTTTGTCTCAAAAAATAAAAAAGGAAGGAACCGAGTTCGATCCCCATACCAAAATAAATAAATAAATAAAATTTTTAAAAAATAAAAAAATAAAAAAGGGCTAGAGATGTAGCTCAGTTCGCAGGCTCTTAATTCAATCTCCATTACCACTTAGTGATGTCCTTCTTGAAGCAGCTAAAGATTATTAATTTTATTAAAATTTGACCTAAATATGTGTTCTAAAAAAAAATTTCTGAGATGAAATGGGAAGGGTGTATCAAGTAGTTCTATACAATACAGTACAATGTTATCTTGAGAAAAAGCACTAGTATAATTGCACTGAGGGATGAACTAGCTGCTTTTTCATGAAATGTCATTTTTACTTCAAAGAAAAATCAACAAATATGATTATTCAAACTTCAGTAACGAGTAGAAATTTTCTTGAAAATGAAGTGATCCTGGTACTTTAAGAAACAAAGCAAAAAAACCTGATTGTTTTTGCCATTGATAAAATTTGAGTTTTCAAGTAAAAATCAGAGTTTTGGAAAATGCATTTCTACCATTGTGATAGTTTCACATTTAGACTTTTCTGATAAAATGAGTGGTTATATTTGTGATATTTTCTCATTGTACAATGAGATGTGTCAATATTTGGAAGATCTGTATACTTTAGTGAACAATATTTTCTGAATGAGCAAGGTATGGTGTAAAAACTCATATGAATTAAAGCTTCAATCAAAGTATAAGAGACCAATATGTTTTATTGTCTAAACAGGACAAAATGTTCACTGATACAGTTTCAGATTCTACACCACAAATAACTTTTAAGAAAGTACCACTTACTGAATTGTGGTGTAATTTCAAAGGATAGTCACAATTTTCTGAAAAAGCTATTAAATTACTTTCTCTTCTAACTGGAAGTTTGTTTGGGGCTAGATTTTTTATATATACCAACCAAAACAACAAAGTATATCAGATTCGATGCAGGATCAGTATAACTCCAGCTGCCTTCTATAAATCAGATATTAAAAGGATTTATAAAATTATAGAATGATGCTGTTTTTCTATTTTTATTTTTTTAAAATAACTATTTTAGAAAAATAGTTATTTTTCACTAAAATGTTAATTACATTAACATATCTTGAAGTTATTATTGTTATTTTTATATGACTTAAAACCAAAGTTTTATAAATTTCTCAGATTTAATTTCTAATTCCAGAAATAATGTTAGTAATAACCTATATAAACAAAACCTGTCTGGGGAGAGTTTTAATAATTTTGAAGAATGTAGCCAGGCATGGTGGTGCACACCTATAATCTCAGTGCTCGGAGGCTGAGGCAGGAGGATAACTGCAAGTTTGAGGCTAGCCTGGGCTACATAGTGATTTGAAGACCAGCATGAACTACACAGTGAGACCCTGTCTCAAAACCAAAACAAAGCAAAACATATTTCTGAAGAACATAAAGGGAATCCAGAGACCAGAAAGTGTGACAACTACTACCCAAGCTGATGTCCTTACTTCATCAGCACATACTTCAAAATGTTTTCAGAACTATTTTCCTAAAAGTTTCTTATCACAACCATCCTCAAATACTGTCAATCACTCCCCAAAACTTACAAAATAAAATTCGACATTCTTTCATACAGAGTACATCTTAGGGATACCAAATCAAATGTAATTTTCAGAATTTTCTACACATTTTCATGCTATACATTTGCTTATCTGGTTCTCTCATTTATTTTTCACAGAAAGTCTTTTTATAATTCAGACTTGGTACAATGATACTCACTATATGACATATCTATGCAATAACTACTTCTGTTAATCTCTTTTGCTTTTTAATGGCATTTTATTTATTTTTTCTTCTCTGCCATTACATAACTAGACATGTGAATAGTAATGTCTGATGTACAAATATAAATGCAGTGCTGTGTACTTTTAAACATGTATAATCCATTTTTTATCCATTACTACTTTGTGTGTGTGTGTGTGTGTGTGTGTGTGTGTGCGCGCGTGCGCGGACGTGCGCGTGCTGGGCGTTGAACTCCAGGTCTCACTGTACCACTATCCACTACTTTTTGATGGCGGTTTCTGGTGTCCTGGCTTTCTATTTCTATTTTACTCTTTTTCTCATGGATCTCAACCACTTACTGCTATTATTCATTTTTGTTAGGGAAAATAAATGCTATTCTTTAGGGTTTATTAACCTTTTTTCTAAGTTGTTATATGAAGAAATCAGCAATTGATACATATTTTCCACTTCTTGGTGATGATCCAGGAAAGATGTAACTGGGAATATTAAGCTGGGTCATAATATCATTATTACATAGCAAACAAGTGTTTACCTGATAGGTGGGGTATTATAAAAATATTAAATAAGTAAACTTGAGGGTTACCAGCTTCTTTCAGTTTAGAAAAGCTTTCTCAATATTCTGTTTCATAATAAATTGATTTTAGCCAAAATCTAGACTTTGAAAACTATACATAAATCCATTAATATGCTTGAGTTCTCAACTTGACACAGAGCTTTAAATACACAGAGATGAAATAGAGAAATTGGCCCAGCACATTGCCACATGAATAAACTTGACCCTTAAAGCAACTGGCTGTCTTTATCCTGTTGTATTTAGCAAACAATGAGAAGGAAGTAGTGAAGGTCTAGAGCTCTAGGTTTTATTTGTTTGTCTCTGCCTCCACCTACTGGATAACATGAAATATTAACCACATATTTTTAATGCCATAAATATGCCATTGAGATTCTGAAAATCAGATTTTGATCCTAGAACAATGGTAGTGATTGTTTCATAGAATACTGATTTTTCCTGAGTTACCGAAATTAACAGTGGGTCTTTACAGACCTCACTGTGACCTCATTCACATGACAATATTGTACCAGAGAACAGAAGTGATACCTCAAATTCAACCAGTGCCAGGAAAACCTATACAAATGACTAAATGAGAGGAAAATGCAAGTCGATTTACATGCAGGTTTCAGATTTATTCACCTAAATTCCACGTGCTAGGTGTTACTGAAAATGAAACAACATATATTATTTCAGGAGTTGAAACACAAGAGTACCTTAAAGTATTGCCATTCCTTAAATTCATTTAGATTACAGTGCGTAATCATGACTTTTGATCCGTCAGGCCCTTTTGTCAAACACTGATCATATTGCATGAGCTGATTTGCTTCATTGATTCGGAAAAGCTATTAAGAAAAAAAAAAGAAAAAAAATAATGGAGCCAACTTCCCTGCTGATATACACTTTACAAATACAAAAAAGCAACTTAACTCTTATATAATTGAATTGAATAACTAACTTATAGTTCTACAAATTTTCTGTGTTTGAAACTTAGTCCCTAGGTAAGAAATGCAAATATTCTGAAGTCAGTGAGGATTCCTATTAACACTTAAATGATTATGTTCTTTAGCCTCTAAAATACAGAATAGGTCATTAACACGTTATTTATTATGTACCAATAATGTAAGAAAATGAAAATTGCAAACAATCTTGATATATTTCACAATCTAAATTATATATGAGAAAAATATCCACATAAATAGGAAAATATATTAGTAAAATACACATTACTGAAGCATATTTGCAAAAACACTGCTACAGAGTTAGGCCTACTCAGTGGTAACAAATATATACTCCCATAAGAATATATCATAATTTCATGGGGCCAGGGATTTAGCTCAGTGGTTCCAGCGCCTGCCTCACAAGTGCAAGGTCCTGAGTACGATCCCCAGTACCAAAAAAAAAAAAAGAATATATCATAATTTCTTATTTAAAGACATGAACTCCAGATTCTGATTGCTTATGTGAAAACCAATATAGCTATTATCCTGCTTAATTAAGTAAATGCTTTAGTACTGTCAGTGATTTATACAGTGTTCTACTTTATCAAAATAAAATGACTGTCGGGCATGGTGGATCACACCTATAATTCCAGAACTTTGGGAGGCTAAGGCAGGAGGTCAAGTTCAAGCCTAGCCTAGGTAACTTAGCAAGAATAAAAAAATTTTTTAAAAAGGGCTTAGAACGTAGCTCAGTGCCTAGGCCCTGGATTCAATCCCTAATACTGAGAGAAAAAAATTAATATATATTTACATATATAATTTTTGATATATCATTTAAAATTTTGATATATATATATATCAAATTAAAAACCAAACTAAGCCCCATGGTCAGCATCTCAATACAACCAGCTTGAACACAAAAGAAAGTGACATACCTGATTCCCTCCCATCCTGTGGCAAGGTCCCAGTTCAACAAAGCCTCCATTTGTTTTTCCCATGCTGTCAATGCAGTAAGCAGTTTCAAAACCTCTGATCTAAAAATATGAACAAACAACCAAAAAGCAAGAACGTTTTATCTGTATCAAACTTTTGCATCAGAGTAAAAGTTGATATTAAGGCCAGGAATTTAGCTCAGTGGCAGTGCACCTGCCTTGCAAGCGCAAGGTCCTGAGTTCGATCCCTGGTACCAAAATAAGAACAAAAAAAGTTTCATATCAAATATTACAGTTCACAGGGAAATCTGGGCATGTGTAATGGCAGATTAATATTGTCTTTTCATATTTTTGAGAATACCACTCATCTCTTTGTGGTCATGAAGTCAACAATGAAATGAGCTCATTCTAAGGGCACTGGCCTAAGTTTTGCCATAAAATACTACAGAAGAAAAAATAAAAAGATATCATTAAGTATAATTTCAGAATCATAACAATTCATAATAATGAGAATCAAAGTTACTTAACCACAGTGGTAACAGTTACTAGCCTGAGACATCTAGAACAGAATCAGATCTGTAGGTACTTCTCTCTGATAGCTACAAAGTACTTTGGTAGCTGCATTAAGAGGTCTGGGGACAAAGATCCTGGTACATAAGGCAGGCAGGGGGATTTTTCTTTGATGATGGATAATGTAGGTGAAAAGGTAATGCAGGTTTTTATCTTTGAAATGTTAATTTTCTATCAAAATAACTTTTTAAAAATAATATATATTTATCTCAATTATAAATCACCATAGTATTTGGATAAAATGTTTCATTCATTCATTCATTCAGCAAATATCAACAGCACACTCTTATGTAAGAGCTTTTGAAGATACAAAGATGAACACATCATGGTCCTGACAACCGTCACAGCCTATGGGAGGAGGGGTAAGTGCCATTCAGGAGGGAGGATGCAGAGGAAGCAGCCTCCCACCAGCCTGGAAGAGCTCTGAAGACCACCCAGAAGATAGCAAACAGACATGGGTCAGGGAATGCTGAGAAATGAAGGTGTCAGAATGGGGAAGCATTAAACTGAAGATGTATTCATATATGGTAGAGTACAAGGAGGAGAGAATTCTATTTACCCATTCATTCATTCATGCATCATTTACTCATCCATCAAATACTAAGTCCCTACTATGTGTCAGGCATGTTTTGGCTCTGAGACGCCAGTGATCTCACATTTCTAGGAAAGACAGTATACAAATTATGTATTTAACACAAATAAATCATCTACTGTGTTAGAAAGTGGTAAGTGCCATGAGGAAAAGACAGGAAGTTATGCGAGGAGGGGCTGGGGAGTTAAGTGTGTTGCAGGGCAGATCTCACCGCGAAGGGGACAGGTAAACAACCTCAAAGGAAGAGGAAGGATTAGAACCGAGTGCAGATGTGTGAAAGGAAGCACTGTGGGGAGAGGGAACGGCCAAGGTAGGAGCACGTCTGGAGGAACCAGCAAAGACAATGGGCAGGAAAGCTGCTAACAGGGGAAAGTGAGGCCAGAGAGCAGGCCAGATAATGCAGACCTGGGAGGCCCTAGAAGGGACTTTATCTTCACCTGAGTGAGCGGGGTGGCTTGAATTGCATTTTACAAAGATCACTCCGACTGCTTGTTGTGTTTAGTACAGGGTGGAGGAAGGCCAAAAAATTAGTCTTGGCTTAGACCAGGTAAGAAAGGGTCAGGCTTTGGAGCTGGAATGTGAAGTATGAGAGAAAGAGAAGATTCAAAGAGGACCAGGGTAGACAGCAAAATGGCTGGGTGTTCAGGGCAGTGGTAGTTGTTTAGGGGAAGGGTGGTAGATGTTTTACCTAAAAGTCTCAAAAATTCTTTCCCTTACACATTTCCTTCTATCTCTGCCTTCTCCCAAACACAAATACATTGAAATGTGGGTATCAGCTGATACTTACTTCTCCCCAGTCAACATTCTTCGGGGGCAGAGGGTAGTGTGAGGTGATATCATAAGCTATTTCATCCATGAACCACTTGAAACTTTTACAGTTATGATCTTCTCGGAATTTTTTCAGCTCAGATATATCACCATAGAGTAATGCCTTTGATTCAGGACGACTAGCATAGAAGTAGTCTTTATATTCATCCCACCAAACCTCTACAACTCTAACATAATTCTGAAAAAAGAAAATTAATATCATTTTGAAAAACAGAAATAACTTCAATGACATAAGTAGCCTATCTTAGATACATAAAATATGACCATGATACAAGAAACTCATTTCTATACAACTTGGTATTTAATTAAACAACAAATGCAAGTAAGCTAATGACTCTAATATGTCATTTGCCAAGCATAAAAATGTCATGTGTGTTCAACTAAAAAGTGACATACACAGAATTTGATCTTGAGCTGGCAGATCATAAATTCCAGGGGTGGCAAATATGGCACCAAGACCTCTTGGTTGGCACGCCGGCCAAGTCACCTGAACAGCTCCTCAGCAGCTGAGCACAGGATAATAGCACACACAAGGGCCATGCACACGCTCAGAAAGGAGTGTTGGTGCCAGACAATGACTTCATGAGCAGGTTGGGCACTCAGTCTCTAAAAGGTTCACCATCACTGATATATTTTAAGATAATGTATTTTATCCTGGTAATAGAGGAAGAAATTCAAACCTGGAGAAGGTTTCTGAGACCTAATACATGGGTTCCTTTTCCCAGAAAAAAATCTCTTTATTATAATCATACTACTGGTGTATGTAGGGGAAAATTTCATTTCAGAAACTATCAGGAAAGACAATGGCTCTGTTTGATAGAAGTCAGTTTTTCAGGTAACTGTCAATTTTTTTACAACTTTGATAGAACCATTTTACTATAACCTCAGATTAACTGGATACTTCCCTTAGTTTGTTCATATTAAGGAAAAGCAGCTATACAGCAATAAGTTGACATTATGGTAACTGAAAAAAAGCTAACTTCTAAGGTTTTACAGAATGTATGAATGATTGCATGAATATATGTGATTAAAACAGCATTTATTCAATTAAGCCTCTTGATCTATAAAGATCATTACCATCAGCAAATTTTCTCTATAAAAAGTCAGATAGTAAATATCTTTGGCTATATGGACCATTCAATCTATGCAGCAACTAGTCAACTCTGCTGTGGTAGTAAGAAAGCATGAAGGGAAGTTGTCAAAAACATGGGGGTGGGGGTTTCCATGACAAAGGCTATAAAAGCAAAAATAGACAAGTAAGATTAGAACAAACCAAAAAGCTCCTGCACAGCTAGGAAACAAACAACAGGGTGAAGAGATGCACTACAGAATGGGAGAATATATTTGCACCTTATGCATCTCATAAGGCATTAATGTCCAAAATATACAAGGAATTCAAACAACTCCACAGTAAGGGGAAAAAAAATCTGATTTAAAAATGGCCAAAGGATCTGAACAGATGAAGAAATTCTATAATTTCCAACACTATGGAGGGACATGATGTATGTTATGCATTATGTGATGTCTAATAAGCCAGGCACAGAAAGATAAATATTGTGTGATCTCACTCCAATGTGGTGGGTAAAAAAGTTAAACTCAGAAATTGAGAGTGAAATGGTGGTTAGCAGAGGATGGGGAGGGGGGCAGGGAGGGGGAATCAGTGAGATGTTGAGTAAAAGACACAAATTTCAATTAGATGGGAGGGATAGGTTGAAAAGATCTATTGTCACCATGGTTACTACAATTAATAACACTATGTTATACATATGAACACTACTATCATTTGTTAAATTGCTACTATAGCATGTGATATACAAATTCTAGTTTCCTATCCTTTTTCCCCTTTAACCCAAACTCACCTTTAGAGTTGGAGAAGACCCAACGTACAGGGGTGGAGGATTTCCTTGCCAGCCCTCAAGACGGTATATATGTCCAACACGAGAACAAGGAACAAATAATAATTTCCCACCACACTGCCATATCTATCAAGGAGAAACACATGTTGTGAAAGTTGTTTCAAATACAAGACAAATTATATCTGTAAAATTTGTTTCATAAATGTAAATCTTAAATCCCAATTAGATAAATGTTTATGTAATTCATAAAGTAAAATCATAATTATTTAAAAAACTCATACAAGGAAGGCAATGAGAATGTAATAATAAGTTGCTACTTGTAGTCACTAGCAACCTTTTCTCAATATAACCTTGTAGAGAAATGCAGATTCTTCATTCCTGACAACATTCAACATTTCCAATGCTAATGTATTTCCTACCTGGGTGATAATTATCCTCCTACTGGCTTCATCTTCAGCTTGCATCCACTTAACTCTAGCCTTATTTATGGTGAGAGTTTATTGTAGCTGAAGGGAAGCTTTGGTTCATGTTATTCCCTTACTTACTATCTTTGATATTTCTTCATTGCTTACCAAATTAGGTAAAAGTCTCATCAACTCAGCATTAAATACTCTTTCATATGGTCCTACTATACCAGTCCACTTTATCTTCTTAGATATATCTTCCTTATTCATGCTGCCTGATTCTGCCAAACTGCTCGTCCTTCCTTCCCGAATGCACTCTTTATGTTTACACACCTTTGTACCTTCTCCCATTCTACTTTCTTAGAAGTTCCACTCCCCTCCCTTTATCTGTTGCTTATTGACATCATGCTAGTTCTGCCTCAAATTCTACTTCCCAAACTGTGTTGTTTATGCCATTTTATGTCTTCTTCTTGTATTACTTATAATTCTAATCTCTTAGCAACTATAAATTCCTTGAGATCCAGGCCTAGGTTCCTCACAGGACACTGAAGACAAGAGGTAATGAATGCCCATTTAGCTCAAACTCTGATATAGTTCTCTCTCTTTTGGAAAATGGGGGTAGGAGAGGGGGTTAGGTGGGGTTGGAGCACAGAAGTTATTATTGCTCAAGGACAGCCTCAACAAGAGGGGAGGTGCTGTAGAGGGACAGCTGCAGGGTCAGTCTGAGGATGCAGGCACTGTGGGGATCTGCTTCTGTCTTGAATCATCATGTCTTACAGTGATAAAGGGTGACTGTGTCAGTGGATGATCAAGTGTGGCCCCAATATATGCAGATTTCTCCAGCAGAATAATATAATACAAGGCTGGAGTATACAGGAAGTCTGGGAATGGGGGAGGGAGGATGTTTCAATTTCTGAAGGTTCCCGGCCATAACTGAGCTGAGCCCTAAAAAACATGTAAATTCAGAGCTTGAATTTGCTTTATTTTTCCCAAAAGGTAATCACTTTTAAATCACTTCTTAGGATTTGGAGAGTCCACTATATAGATTTTTTTCAAAAGAAACTACCTTATCTGAAAACTACAAAAGTCAGTAATGACATAGAAAACTGCATTTGTTTAATTTAAATGAAATGTTACCTTGTAGGAAATCTCAAAGTTTTCCCCACCCCAAATCTGGAGACCTGGATCATATAGACCCAGTTCAAAGAAGAACTCTCGCTCAATGGCAAATAATCCACCAGCCATGGCTGGGGACCTAAGGGAAAAAAACAAAAACAAAAACAACATTGTAATAACCATTTAAAACAACCCCCCAATACACCTTTAGTAGAAGAATAACAAGCCTTTTCAAATACAGCCTAAATATGCATAGAAAAGACAAAACTGATGGCCAAACTTTAAGAAAATTACAGATTCTTCAAAAAACAATTTATTCATAATCCTTATTCTGAAACTAGTTTATTACAAATTAAGAGCATTGAGTCATCTCACCAGTAGAGGGCGCCTTGGTTCCTTTGTTGATTTAAAAATTAAGCTTTCATTTTAGTTAAAATAGAAATTTTCTCTTTCACTCCTAAACATTGAGCCATACAGCCGTGGTCTGATAACTGCTCTTGCAATGATTTATGAGTCATTCTGGGAGGAACGAAGCCATACACCATGGAAGAAGTCTGTCATTTTTTAATTTTATAGCTCAGGGGCTGGGGTCAAATAAGGGTGTAAATCACAGCCGAAGAGGCCCAGTTCATTCAGAGTTTGCAAATGTAGCTTAAGAATGACACAGGAAAATTTGGCATTGCTATTTACTATGCTGGGATGGACTGCAAAAGGGTGATCTGTGGCCCTTCTTGAATGGATTTTAAATTGGGTACTTTTTAGGGGCAAGAAAAAAAATTTTGATTAAGAACACATCACTCTGACAACTTGGGAGAAATGACAGTGGAATAATTTTCATCTGGCTCTGTATGCCTCTCCATTCTAGCTCAACAATTAATTATTAATACATCATGATTCTTAAGTTTTAGGAACTTAATACTGCTAGAGTATCTCACTCATCATCATACCTGATAGTCTACGTATCACTGAATTGTACTGATTCTACCTTGAAAATACATTTTGAATCTTTCTGCAACTTCACTGCCACCACCCTAGACCAAGCCAATACTACCTCAATTCTGTAACAAACTTGTGTCCTTTATTCCACTCTGCCTTATCCAAATCTGACTGCATACAGCACAGCAGACTCCTTTCCTCCTTAAAATGCTACCTAACTCACTAAATAGCATTATTACACTTATATTTCATATTGCATTTATTTAACCATCATTTAAAAAACCTCCATTATAAATGTGTCTCTTTCTTATCTTTACATATATTCCCATTTATCTCAGTATAAAATTGAAAATGCACCCTAATATGGAAACTAGTTGGTTATAGGCAAACCTTCCTTTAATTTTCTTAGCTCACTTTAGCCCACAGAATTAGCAGTAATATAAATGCACTCAGTGCCCTTTATTTTTTTTCTCCCAGAACTGTTAGGTAAAGCAGGTAAGCAGCAGATTCCTAGACCACTTTGAATAAGAAATCTTCAAATGAAAATTTGGAAAATGTCCAACAAGGCTTACAATTCTATAATTTCCTTATGTTTGCCAATCAGTATATTGCTATCACGATACGCCCAAATGACACTGAGGCACCTTCCCAAAATAGAGTTCGAACATTATCAGCAGTGTAACAGCAGGAGGAGACCAGAAGCAAACCCAGAGGATCAAATACTACTACTACTACTACTACTACTACTACTAATAATAATAATAATAATAAAAAAATCAGACACATTGTGGAGAGTGCTACACTAACATTTGAGCAAACATTTCATTTGGGGTTACTTTTTTCAAAGAGAATAAAATGTTCCAATTAAAAGATCAAAAGGGGAGAGTAAAATAAGTTATTCTACTTGAAGAACCACAAGAAGGGACAAAAGCTGATTTTGGAATAGAGTTTTCTTTTAATCAAGTACTCTTCTGAGAAGCAAAAAAGAATTCTATGTCACATTTTCTAAAGTTGTGTATTTTTATTCATCAGATTTAGTACAAAATTAATTAGGATTTAAAAATTAGCATATTAAGTAAAAGGGGGAAAACCCCCCAAATCTCTTGCTAGTATCTTTCATCATTAACATACACCAAAAGCATCAAAGTCTTGGATTATAAATAAATTATGCATTTTAAATTTGTAGAATGATATGATCGTCAAAAGAATAAAATTTGTTAACTAGTCTACAAGGATAGGATAGTAAAAGTTTTCTTTTTTTTACTTATACTTGGAACTAATAATGCTTTTTACATTAAGTTTTCTCCCAATGAAAGAGTGTGATTCTCAACAGAGGAGCTTGCATTTAGGGTAGAAGCAGTTTATAAAGAAGCAAGGGTGAATTTGTAGCTCTAAAAAAGTTTAAAGGAAGAAGCTCTTTCAGAGTCTGAGATAGCATCTACAGTTCTAACAACAAAATTTTAGCGTGGTAACAGGTTAATAGGTTAGCAGCAACTGGAGAAAAGAAGAATATGTAAGTGATTTAGTGATTACCGATACGGTTCAGTTTTTGTCTTTCTCAGTCTCTTCTCTCGAGGGGTCAGAGGCACCCGTTTCCAGAGCATACTCCAGTCCCATGCTCCTCGGGCATACCCATCTTCATCACCACCCCCTTGGGGTACAATTTGGTATGTGTTGCCATTTATGACATCTATAAGCGGCACAGTGCAAATGGTTCTGTATTGTGTTGATGATGTAGCACAGATCAAATGGAAACGTGTGTATGGACCCACATGTTTATACGAGGTTGTGGGGAAGGAAAAAAAGAAGTACTTAGATAAACATTCAACATTAAAAAAATAAAGCAATAATCTTTACCGATAAGGTTCAGTTTTATGTTTTCTTTTGGCTTTTTCCTTGAGGCTTAGAGGAATACGTTTCCATAGTAAACTCCAATCCCAGGCCCCTCTGGCAAAACCATCTTCATCCCCACCTTGCTGTGGTTCAATGGAATAATCATTCCCATCTATGTAATCTATTAGAGGCACAGTACATGTAGTTCTGAAACATTTACAGAAAATGAAAAAACATTTAAGAACCCAAAACTGACTAGTTTAGCATGCCTAACTGCATTGTCTCTTACTGTAGTTGTTTTGCTTTTTACATCAGGGAGCTTGAATATCCAATGGAGAAACAGAGTAAATGAATGTCCCATAAAACCAAGGAGTCTGTTAGTGTAAGGGCAGGATAGAGGAGACATTCCCCTAGGCTTACAGACAAAAGTCAGAGTCATGCCATTGAGCCTAATAGTGTTTTCTCTCTTTTATTCTAGCTCTACTGGTAATTTTCTCTTGGTAATTTTGTATTATTTACAAGATTTTTCTGCTTGTTGTTTCTACTCCCTGCCCCCCTTGAAACATGTGTGTGTGCATGGAGTACACGCACTGCCAACACCTGTCACATCTTAGCAGTCCTAACTCTTCGTTGCTTTATATTTCTTTGAAAGTAGTTATTATGAAAATGTGCTTCTGTGCTTTTACTTAATCTCCTTCTCTACTTCTTTCATTGCAAAAAAACCCCCCAAAACAAAAAACTTCTCTATTGTACTGTTGCTTTTTTTTTTTTAAAGCCAAAAAACCCCTCAAAATGTACAGAACAATAGAAGCAATCTGAGAATTTGGAGTACAAAAGAAAAAACAAACCCCTTATATTTGGACTTCCTAAAAAAATGCAAGTAACTATAAACCCAATTGGATGTAGGGTTGACGTTACAAAAATAATCTGGCACCCTGCTTATTTTGATACTCATCTCATCAGAAAGGCTTTTAAAATGCATTTCCTAAAACGAGATGTTAGCTTTTCATAACCAAGTCGTAGTGCTTTTTAGAAACCAAAGGTGGGCTGCAGATTTAGCTCAGTGGTTCTGCTGCCTGCCTTGCAAGCACAAGTCCCGAGTTCAATCCCCAGTACCAAAAAAAAAATGGGCATAGAAACCAAGAGAAAGAGAAAAAAAAAATCTATGAGGCTTTGAACCTTGATTTGGGAGAATTAGACTCTAAAAGAGGGCATTACTTTCTCCAAAGCTTGAACTTGCTCTGGAAGGTCACTGTGGGTCAGATATGTGGGGTTGTCACTGGAACCTTTGGGAAAACACTTCCTTAACTGCCCAGAGGGCTGTGAGCCTTCCCCTGGAGAGAGTAGCTGCTGTGCGGTTAGGTATCTTTTTTTACTCCTCTTGCTTTTCACATTTCTAAATAAATGGTGCAATGTAAACTGGCCCAGAAACGTCAGTTTGACAAGCTTATTAACTATCTGATTTGGGGGAAATTACTTAATCTCTTTAACCCTTTATGTCTTCTTCTGTAAAATGGCACTAATCAACTGTGTCTTGCAGGCCTGCTGTGAGGGTTAAGCCAGATAGCCCTGAACAATGTTCTCGACAGGCCTTCACATGAAATCCTCTGACGAGAAAGTCTTCCAGAGTTCTTCCTCCACCTCACACCTTTCGCCACAAGGATGTCTCATTCTCCCAGCTTCTGAAATAGTCAGAATTCTGGACCAGAACCAAGGAAGGCTTTTGGAACTAGGACACTTAATACTACCTTCTGGTGTTTCACCACATTTCCATGGAATAGCTGTCTGTTTCTAAATAGCAAGTTTCTATAGGAACCCAAAGCATTGGTCCTCTCTTACTGTCTAAAGTATTAATTAAAATGGGCTTAAAAATCTAATAGGTATAATAATTTCAAAGCAAGTTTTTATATCTCTTACTCCAGTTTAGAGGGAGCACTCAGTAAGTATTACTCAGAGAAAGTTGTTGAGGTCATAGGAAATCTCAGTGACAGAATTTGAAGATGACTCTTGAGGGGTACACCTTGGATTCTTCCAAATGCTAGACTGCCTACACTTGAATCAGCCCAAAGGATCAGTCTAGCCCTACTCAAGGAAACAACTGTTTCAAGGATAACACTTAAAATACAATACTTGATATACTAACTGCAACTGTAATCAAAGAATGAGAATATTATTTGTCCTTTTAGGACAAGGTTTACTTTGCAACTAGGAAAGAAAAAAAAAAGCAAGGTAATGTTACCTGTCCTTAGATATGGGAGCTACAAGTGGTGCATACCAGTTAACTGCCACTTCACAGTGGGCATCAAGGTATATCAAAACCTTAAAAAAAAGAGGCAAGGTGAAAGAATACTCCTCACATACGGTACACCATATATCACACACAATCTAAAATTAGATGCTAATAAAAATTAGCATAATAGTCGATTCTGACATACAAATTATATGTTCAAGCCAGCATTCTCATTTCAATTACAAAAAACTGAAGGGTGATTAAAAATATATATGATCTTTTAGTTATCAAATCCAAAATACTGACATTGTAAATAGCAAATGCTTCCTACCTGTCCAAGTTTAGCCTTTTGAGCACCAATACTTCGTGCTTGAATTAAACCTTCTCTTCTCTCGTTTCGAAATACCTTTACCAGGCCATTCCACAGCTTAATATATTCATCCAGTTTCTCTTTTAAGTGTTCTATGAATAAAAAGTTCAATTAACAGTATGAACTAGACCTTTTATCTAAAAATTGTTATTTTTCTCAAGAAACAGAGATAGGTTACAATTGTACCAAGCAGTTGATACTTTTATACAGGCCACATTGAATGTCTTACTTATTAAGATGGAAGGTGAAGGCTGGAGATGTAGCTTAGCATTTATGAGGACCTGGATTTGACTCCCCCCCCCCCAAAAAAAAGATGGAAGGTGAAATGTATTACTTAAATGAAATTTTAAGCTTGATATGTCTGAAGAGAACTGGTTAGCTTGAGATTTATCTAAACATTAAATAAATGCCGATTGCGCCAATGGCAGGTGAGACTTAAGATATATTTTGTTTTTCAGTTAGTTCATATGATGTCAGATTTAAAGCTTTCAGGCACAATTTTTCTACCCAGAAGCAAGTCGAAGGTTTCTGAAATGCAATATCTACTAACAACATGCAGCTTCACTGGAATCTGCCTGTGGCACATGTTGTTTAACATTTTATTTCTGAGCTATCTTTCTCCAAATAGGTATTGGATGAAGGCTGTGGTCTTGCTGCGATGAATATGGTTCCCACCAAGTTGACAAATAATTGTGAAAAGATATCATTTTCTCTGTATCTTAGTATCACAAGTGTGTATAATTAATTATAAATATTATATATATATATATTTTTTTATTTCTAATTTTGTAGGGGAAATTCTGGGATATAAATCCAGACACAGCTAAGCACATTTGCCCAAACCTGCAATCCTACCTATTTAGGAGGCTATAGCAGGAGAATTGCAAGTTCAGAGCAGCGTAGGCAACTTCATGAAATTCTGTCTCAAAATAAAAATAATAAGAAGGGATAGGGATGTAGTTTAGCACTCCCTGGGTTCAATCCCCAGTACTAGGAAAACCAAAAACAAGTGCAGACAAAAATTCCAGCTTGGCTTCCCATTGTAAGAGAACAGCTTTTGTTTGTATCACTCGCAGCCCATGAAATTGGCTCACTACACCTCCTGGATGCTTTAAAAATGCTTCTTGATGACAAATATTGTTTCAAAACTTTAAAAACTTGGGCCATGAATATAAAAATCACAAGAAATTGCAGTAGAGATGAAAACTCATGGGTTAATGGGCATATTAGACCACACACAGTATTTCACTCATTTTAGGGAAACTATTAGCAAGATAACCCCACACATGCAGATTCAGAATTGAGAAAAACTTTTTTCTTCCATTCTGACACCGAATTTTTTTTTTTTTTTTTTTTTTGCAGTACTGGGGATCGAATTCAGGACCTTGCGCTTGCGAGGCAGGTGGCGACGCCACTGTAAATCCCCAGCCCCTGACACCCAATTTTAATGAGTATTATAAATAAAATTCTCGGGCCAGGAATTTAGCTCAGTGGTACTGCAGCTGCCTCGCAGTACAAGGTCCTGAGTTTGATCCCTAGTACCAAAAAAGAAAGAAAGAAAAAAAAATATTTATATATATATATATATAAAATTCTCATGCTTAATTATATTTTACCCCCCAAAAATGAATAATGTTTCCTTCAGTTTACTTTAAAAGAAAAATCTCCCCCACTCTATAGTCCTGAATTTTTTAAGCCTTTCTGAATTCTATTAGGTGATATGTATATGCAGCCTAAACCCATCTTAGATACATTTTTATGGACAGAAATGAGTTGGTGACCTATTCTTCCCATTTAGATTCTTGGTTAAGATGGCCCAAAATGGGAAATAGTGAATCCAATGGCTTCTTGCTTCTTTGGGATCTCACCCTGTGGTAGACCGTATTTGGGCTCAAAAACTTTATTGCCAAATGCTGGGGGAATTCAATCCTCCTCCAACACACTGATGTCAGGCTAGGGGTGTGATTTACTATGTTCAATGAGATGTAGGTGGAAATGTCCTGGGTGACTTGTGAGCAGAAGTATTAAGGGGCCAGGGCTTTAGCTCAGTGGCACTGCACCTGTCTCACAAGCTCAAGGTCCTGAGTCCGATCCTTACCCGACCCCCCGTAACAAAAAAGAAAATGAGGCCGCTTATGTTTTTCTAGGTCTCTTCTTCCCCTCCCCCCATATCGGCAGTGTTCCAGCTGAGGTAGCTTGGCAAATGTACATCTAGCAGGAAAGAAGGTGGAGCACAGAGATAGTTGCTGACCTGCAGGAAACGTATGAATGAATGGCAGAAAATCCTCCACTGTTGCAAATCACTGAGAGCGTGGAGTCATGTTTTACCTTCATCCAACTTTCCTCAGTTGGTTGCTGCGTATGTGTGTGGAGGAATTTGCTCCACTGGAAGGCTCTAAATCTTGTTTAGAGAGGATGTTATAATTTCCAGAAACCTAAGTGTCACTGTGAGCATGTAAGTTCTTTGTGAGGTTTTTATATTAGTATTTTGTCTCTAAAAGAAAAATTATAGCTTCCAAGTTTCCTTTTTGAATATGTTGGGAAAATACAAACCAAATTTTCACCCAAGCTTGATTACCCAAATACTGTACAACTTTGCTGAAGTTAGGACTAAAAGATATTAAAGTTGTTTTGAAATTGGGTAAATTAATAAAAGATCCTAAAAGGCTCTGCAAATTTTAAGTTACGGAGGCCCTGAATGGCTACTTTAAAATATGGTATATAAGACTGTAAAAGGCAAAAGATTTATATGATCTGAAGAGAAACCAGAGTATGAGACTATTAGATCTGAACAAACAGAAGCAATGATCACAAAAAGTTGAAAGTAAAATGCACAAATATTTAAGCCCAAAATTCTGTTCTCCTTTTCTGGATATGTTAAAATTTTACGTATATAAGTAATATAGAGGATTTTAAAAATCATACAGATAGATTTCTCCAAGTTGTTTTGTAGCCTTAGATTTTTCTAAACCTAAAATATTGCTGGTACCAGCAATATTATCTTAGAACATGTTTTCCAATATTTTTCTTGGGACAGGAAAAATATTTTTGATGCAAACATTCCTGTCATACAAAACTGTAAGGTAAGATGTCTAACCTAAATGCATTCAATATGACTAAAAACTTTAAAACTATACATTCTCTTCTGTAAATAAAAATGATTAGTTGGAAACAGGGACTAGCACAAAGATAAGAAAAAAGAAAGTAAGTCACATTTCTATTTCTTTTAATGCCAATGTAGGTAATGCAGGACAAGATTCTGTCCTTGTAAAAACAGCAAGAGTCTATTCAAACTGCAAAGCTTGTTTCAGAAGAAGGAACCTTTTATAAAAGCATTTGGAAATGTATTTTCATGCTGTCCATATTCTGTCTCCACTTCTAACATTACATTCATAGCATCACTCCTTACACAAAAAGTATTTCTACAAAACTTATTTTCCAAAGTGCAAACATCCTGTTGTTATTAAGTAATCTGAGCTCTTGTGGTCAATTCTCTTTCAGTTCTGTTTTGTGACAAGTAAAGAGGAATAAATAAATATCCAGATCGGGTCACTGCAGCAAATTTCCATTTTCATTTACATGCTGTTATGCTAGAGATTGAAAATGGCCCCCAAAGCCTCGTGTGTTGGAAGATGACTGGATTACGGAGAGGCATTATAGCTGACTTGTTGTTAGGAGGTGGGGCCTGGTCAGAAGAGGTGGTCACTGTGGGGAGGATCCAGAACGGTGCATCTCCCTCACTGGCTCCTTTCTTTTGTCCCTCTGCATCGTGGTCACCATGACGTGAGAAGCTTTGCCTCTGCTATGTCTCTCTGCCATGCTGTCCTGCCTTGGAACCACTGGACTATGGACTGAAAACCTGAGCCAAAATAAACTTTCTCTCCTAAGTTGTGAGGGTTGAATATGGTGTCTCAGGGATGAGGAAAGTGATTAAGATACATGCTAACTTAGGATTTGAACTACATCATTATCTATTCATATTTAAGTCATTACAGATACTTATTTAACTTACAGTCATGTATTTAAGGAAAATGAAATTAAGTTTAAAAATCACTTATCTGGAAAATCACTGCTCAGTTACTCTTTTGCCAAGTTGAACCAAAACTAACCAATGCCTTCCTAAATACTATAATAGCTGCCTCCTTGAAAAGAATAAAAAGCAACTTCCTTTTATTTAACATGCTGAATAAAAAACACTGGCATTGCAATACCTACACAATTACCTATTTTCAGGGTTTCAATAAGTCACTTCTATGATTAAATTTTACAAAATTCAAGCCTCGAAGAATTAGTGCAGTGTAGGACAATGGCTGATGACACAAACTTACGAGCCTATGGATTTTGATTTAGCTGTTAATTACTTTCTCTGGGACTGCTGGCAAGTGACTTCACATCTCTGAACCGCCTGTATAAAATGGAGATAATAGCAATATCTATTCTAAAGATTACTATTACTGGGATTAAACAAAACAATTCATATACAACTCTTAGAACAGTGTTAACTTGTTTGTAGTAGATACTATCAAAACACACTAACTCTTGATTTTAAAAAATATTCTAAAATCACATATTTGTAAGTACTTATACATTTAACTTATTTTATCAACAAAATGTCAGTTCCACAGCAATTACCTTTATTACTGAAATCATCAATTAACACAATTTCTGCTAAATATTTCCTCGGAGTTCTTTTGATTACACTGTGGACTGTTCTCATGAGGGTTGACCATCCTTCATTGTGGAAGACAATGACAACACTCGAAGTGAGCAGATTTTCATCATAATGCCAATACTTGCATCTGCAGGAAGAAAATTCATTATGTTTAGTTAGGGACAATCAATAATTCTTGACTGCAAACTTACTATGATTGCATTTTCTGACTGGAATATTATGACTTAATTAAGGAAAGTGAATGAAATTCAGTCTTTGTATGTTAGCAGAAATATGAGATAGAAGAGAGAAGTCGCCATGAGACAGTTATTCCTAGATAAAGCTACTTCATAGCCAATACATATGTATTATAAAGAATTAATTTTTAAACTGATGCTGAGGATGCCTAAAATATTATTTATAGCTATTAAGTTGTTCTTTTCTTTTTTCTTTTCTATCATGACTCCATTATCTCTTTATTTCAAAGGCATATTATGTAACTGAAATAAATGAGTAACATACCATTAATTTAACAGTTTTGTCATTTGCATCTATATTTTCAATATATGAGGATATTATTCTATTAATAATATAATAACACATCAAATGCATGTGCAATACTCTCATCTACATATATTCTGTGGGTGTTGCCATTTTCTATGGTGGTTATTTTACTCTCCGAAACCTGAGCTTTGATGTAAGAGATTTATTTCACTTGCTGTAAAGAAATCACTATGCTTGAAAGCTGTCCTGTTCTAGTATGGCTAAAATATTCAGAAAAAAATGAACACGCTGATGGACACATTTAGAAAGCATTAAAAATATATTGTTGAATGAATAAATTAAGTCCTAATATTATTTAGAGCTATTAGATTGGCTGAAAAGGTTCTTTATCTATGCACCACAAAACCATTTGCAATAAATACAGTAGGAATAAAGTTGTTGGAAGCCTTTTTCTAACTGGAGGAGACTCCAAACAAGACTGGCCTAAGGAAGACTCAAGGAAAGACTTGAAGACTCATGGGAAGGCTCGGTGAGCACAATTCTGAAAGAGTGCTTTCAATTATAATCCAAAGATAGGAGGAGCCAAATGCTCCTTCAGGACAATGAGTTAAAAATATAGTGGTGGTAAAAAAATAATAGTGGTAGAGAAATGCAAACCTTACCAGGAGATGTGGTGTTTCTGGAACTACCTAGGCAGAGCAAGGCATGCATAATTTTAGACAGGTAGGGATAATAATCTTCCAAAACAAACGGTAAAACAGATGGAGGCTCAAGCAACATTTTTCTTCCTCTGACTCTAATCACTGGTCTTAAAGCAGCAGAACTGGTTGTGAAGGACAGAAATTTTGATTTACAACAGACACCAGAATTGGTGAAAATATTTAAAACATGGAGGGAGATTTGGGGCTTGTTGATTTCTAAGGCAGGAGATGACAACTTGGGGGAAAAGGCAAGACAGGAACTGTACACTGGAGATGGAAGGAGTTAAACACAAAGAGACTGAAGGGGCTGTAGGAGGTAGGGTGAAGGCAGGAGGAGTCCATTAGGGGCAGCTTCACTGTCCTCGGGACGTGGAACATTTGCCATACATAAAGCCCTGATATGAAGATTTGGTAATCAAAGAAGCAGCCATGGCACTGAGGTAAAGCCCCTATTTTGCATAATCTTTCGTCTTATGGGTAGAACTTTTGCAATAACCCCCTGCCTTTTTTTGGTACCTGGGATCGAACTCGGGTCCTTGCGCTTGCGAGGCAGGCAGCAGAACCACTGAGCTAAATCCCCGGCTCCTATACTCCTTTTATCCGTGGTTTTACTTTCCAAGGTTGTAGTTACTTGAGGTCAAACATGTTCCAAAAATACAGTACTGTATAAAATACTGAGAGAACACATTCTTATAACTGTTATAGTATATTATTATATTCTCTGTTAATAGTTATGGTTATTAGTCTATCACTATGCCTGATTTATAAATTAAAGTTCAGAATATATGTTAATCACAAGAATACAGTATATATTAGGGAAAAACATAGTACATATAGAACTGGACATCTACTGGGGATCTTGTTATATATACATGGTTGGCAGGATGCTACTAAGTTCTAATAGAAAAGAATACTAAGTGAAGCAAGAATGCCATAATCAAATGGATGGGTATGTTACACATTTTGACTGATTTCTCCTTTCCAGCATCTCATTTCCCAAGAGAGCATTTAAATCTTCTAACATCAAGGACAGTAGTGATTTAGCTACACTGCAGAACCGCTCTGAACACAAACACATTCACTATTAGGCTTGCAATGATTAAAGCGATAGGATTATTCTTGGCATAATCTTACAGAATATTTTTTATGGTGGCTATCTAGAACAGGTGCTTGGTATTAGAAGAGGAGAACGAATTTTCATAACTTAAAAAAAGTCAATTTCAAAACCAAAAATGAAATAACTGTAATTTACTTCTAGTCTTTCTGTATCAGCTATGTTTTTAACATCTGTAGTTTGATATAGTCTTGCTCTATTTAAACTTTATTAATAAGTGATATCAAAGTCAACACACTATGAAAAACAACATTTTTGGGATGCAAGTCCTTGCAATCTACATATAATATCATTCATATATAATAACATGTGTGTACCTGCACTCATGTATTTATGTGTGAAAGTTACTGCTTTTAAATGCTGCATCTTACTCCTAGATTATTCCCGAGAATCTCAATAAAGAGTCATTTTGGATTTTCTTCCCCTACTCCTGCAACCATTCTAAATCTAATAGGGAAGATTCTTTAGGCATAGGAAACAAATTTTTACTTTCCAAAACACTAATCTTTAAATTATCTACTTTTATTTTTAAACAGAGAACTCTTCCTGTCTCCCTCCAAAATCTCTTTTGCTTTTTTATAAGATAAAAGGAAGTGGAAAATGTTTATAATTTACATGAAACAGTCTTGATACCCAATGGCTGAGTAAATTAGTAATGCAGATATAAAATTTAACTTAGCCTTCAGAAATTACTACCCATTTTCAATAAAAGGAGAATTATTACATCCAATTGCTCAAATTTAATAGACTGGAGTAGGCAGATTTTACTCAAATGTTCAGTTTGTACCTTGGTTGGAATGATAAAACGTTTGTGCCTTGACACTGCGTAGTTGACACCCAGCATCTGACATACTATGGTAGATATCATTCCTTACAGCACATTATGCATAGCAAAATAATCTATGCATCAAAAGAAATTTATAAACTAAATGTCCTCCTCATCACTCTCTGGATATACCCCATTTTATCAGTGTATTTTCCAGAAAAGGCTGCCACAATAACTCAGATGTGGACTAGCCAACATAGGGCCAAAGTTATAACTTGAGTTTGGATATAATTCCTTTGTAAACATACTCTAGAACTACATTACCACTGAATTTTTTTTTGTGACCATTCATATTCTCATAAATCCCCAGAACTGTTCTCCTCAAATTACTGTTGATGCCCAGTGTTTCCCATTCTGTATTTTTACAATAAAACAATATAAAATACAATGCTTATACTTACTGCACTTTGCATTGTTGGTTTAGCTTGCTGCAGCAGGCTCTGATGTCTTAATTTTAAGGATCTGTCATTTGTTGAATATAATTATCCCTCCCCATTTTCTCTGTTGAAAATTGGATGAGCACAATTTCTATCTCTTCACCTACTGTTTATATGAAGATGAGAAGATCAATTATTGTGCTTTAGAGCTTTGTGTCATCCCTGAAAGGTTGGTATCACTCCATCTCCATCAGCTAACTGTGCCACTATTCAGTTTCTTTATCTTGTCCATGGGGATCTGAAGACTATTAAAATATCCTGCAAAGTCAAGATGCATTAGGTATCACATGGTCTCCTGGTACACTAGGGTAAGCAGTGTCTTCTTTCAGAGACAGGTATGAGTTCAGTCTGACTACTTTTCACAGATCCATGCTGCTATCTCATGATGGTTACTTTTTAAGCATGCCTAGGTGATCTCCCTTAGGATTTACTGTGCATCAATGTCAAGTTTCCAAAACCAAACTTTCCTCCCTCTGGAAAATGAGATGATATTTTCCTATCTCCTATTTCCTCAGGTCTCTCTTCTTTCCCTAATACGTTTGGATAACTGGTAGCACTTCCTTTTAACTCATCTGGCAAGTCCCTCAATGTCTGGTGTTGTGTGAGGCTTTTGAGCCTCAACAGATTGAATGCACTCTGAAGATGTCAGGTTACAAAACTTTTGATATGGAGATCACTCCTGCTAGGAAGGTAGCAAAAAAGTATTGTATGTCTTTTTATTCATATGTTAAAATAATATCATATACCCTAACAATCTGCCTATTCTTTGCTTTTTCGTTATTTTACTCCAATTGTAATTGTGTGTGTGTAAATCTTGGTATAAACGTCGCCTACTTTTCCGAAAACTGCCCTATCACACAGGCCTATTGAAGTCCCCTTCTCTAAGACTCCTTAAACAGCAGTTCCTTGTTAGTAGGGACCACGTCAACCCTGGGCCAATGGAATGACTAGCAGGGAACACTTGCCCTAGCTAGACCAGAGTTCCTCTTTCTGGACTTTGAGCTTCCAGATTAGCTCTCTATTAGGTTAATACAGAGTCAACAAAAGCCTGGATATGGAGAGAAGAAGACGAGTGAGAGAAGAGGAGCAAGAGAAGTGAGGATGAAAATCCATTAACTTTAAAGAGAGGAAGAGCAAATACCTTCACTTCTCAACTCTCCATCTGTTTCCTAGTCTTCCACAGCCATCACAAGCACTTCCAGACTTTGGGTTCTGAGATACTCTGATACTCTTTCAATTAGCACCCTCCTAAACAGATTTGTTTCTAGGCAAATAATCACAACATGCTACTCTAGACATTTTTCTACACTTCAGATCGTTATCCCTATATGTTTACAGAATTAAATTTACTGATTTTCACTAGCTTTTCAATAATCTATTTTTCTCTATGATCATTGTTGAAATTACAGACAAATGAGCTACAGATGGCCTCTCCAGATGTTATTAGGTTTTTTGGGGTTTTTTTTGGTACCGGGGATTGAACTCGGGTCCTTAGCTTGTGAGGCAGGCGGTGGAACCACTGAGATAAATCCCCGGCCCACCAGATGTTATTAGTTGGTAGGTCCT